CCAGTGGCAATTTTAGGCAGGACAGAGTCCATAATTTAGGTGTAGATATAATATTTATGAAGTTTCCACACTGCTGACAGCTTCGTTGAGATATTTACATTGGGGGAAAATGCTGAGATGAAGTAAGTCAGAAAGGAACATCATACTTTTTTTGAAGAAATGCTGAGAGTTGGTTTGGTTTTGTGGTTACACTACTGGAATGAGACTCTTGAGAAGTGGATTAAGTTATTCGCTTCATTAAAAACTTCTTGTGTGACATTGTTCAACTCATTTAATTTCATTATGTTTCAGTTTCCCAGCTAAAATTTGAATAATAATGCTTCCTTTCTCAGGGCCAAATTCTGACATGCTTGCTTAATCTGAATAGCAGTTTACTTTGCAAATGGTCACGTTTACTTCAACAAAAGTGCCTGTGGAGTGAGCAAAATTCAACATGCATAAAGGTATCAGAATCTCAGCCTCAACTGTCTGAACTATTAGTGAGTCTTACTTAGTAATCTCTTGGTTGGAAATTCATGGGTTCAATTTTTTTCTCTGGGAGTCGGATTCAAACCCAGTACAGATACTGTGATGCAATAATGCTAGGGGTCAGTCTGGGGACCAAAATATAAAACTGTGCATATAATCCCCATATACCTGATTGTGTCTCATAAAGTGATCAGCACTGAAATATTTAATAGTGTTGACACATAAATTATCAGCTCTTTAAATTGTTATTAGAGCCAAAATCACAGACATATTATTATTTCAGGTTGGTTGGCTGCAGACTCAGGAAGACAGCTCTGCATAGGTTCACATTTGGAAGGTATTCTTTACAGTCATAAGGGCTACAAACTAATTTTTGAAGTAAAAACTTAACTCTGAGGGGGCTGTCCAAACAGGAAATTCCTTGACCACTTATTACAACAGATTAGAAGAAACCCCAATGGTCTTGTCATTATATCATCTCTCAAAAAAGGAAATGTCATATCCCAATGCATATGAGTCACTACTAAGGATATAAAGACTGCTGTGTTTGCCTATACACTAGCTGCTCTGAGAACACATTATTTATATAGCACTATGTAACATCTTGAGTATGAGTAGAATTAGAGCATAACCAAAATATTTCCAATCCTACCTGGCTGTTAGTACAAGCATGTAAGTGTCAAAAGACTGTATATTTCACTGAAGTCTGCACAATGTCTTGTGTATGAAAATTCTTGTGATATCCTATTTTTCCTGACATAATGGAGATACATACCCATAACACACACAAATTCCTTTGTATTTGTTACATGTAAATACTGAGTTAAAAGATTTCAATGTCTAGGAAACAATGTTTTTATGCCAACCTGTACAAAATATATGGTAATTCATTATAAATAACATTATGAAAAAAAACTTTATTCAGACATAACTTTTCTAGCAGTTTTCATTTTCTCCTGCTTTTGAAATATATAGTTATGGTATATAATAGAGGAAGGACTTCACTAGTACCTAACTGGAAAAATCTGTTATGAAATCCAGTGACTGTAATGATCACTGAATTTATGAATACGTCTTCTTTTTTAATATTGTTCTAGAGTCAGAGTCAAATAGATCTGTAAAGATTGTAAGCCAGGGTTTTGCTTATTGTTGTAATATTATGTCCCCTCCCCCTTAGCTTTTTTCTTTTCATTGTTAAGCGGTTCCTTGCGTAGGTGCATATTGGGACACCTAGTGGCAGTCACTGATGATAAGTTCCCATTCAGGAGAAGTGGAGGAGACACCAGTAGAATGACATCCAAATGTCTCATTGAGTATGTGGAACCCACAATTTGCTTTCATTCTAAGACATTTGGTTTGTTGTGGGGTTTTTTTTAACACCATGATCGTCCCAACAAATTTAAGCCAAACATTATTCTCTTTCTGTTACAACATAACGCAGTTATACGGGCTATCACAAACCAAACTGTTAAATCATATTTTGATTTTAATATGTTTACTATGTAAAGATAGTTTACATATTTCATTTATCTAAAAGACAGAACTATTAATTGAGAATCATTGTTGTCTACAGTATTTAGATAAATGTTCGCATATAATTGTTTTGTTACCACATTATTTCCTTAATTTGTAAGTATATGTTTATAATGATTCAAATTCTTATTACATTTATTTTGTAAAGAAGTTACATGTATACAGACATGTTAGCTTGACTAATGTTTCCAAAACAGTAAAGTGATCACATTATTCTATAAATTAAGGTCACTTTCCCCCAAATGTTGGCACCTGAAGTTAAGCGCCTACATTCTAAATAAAAGTGGCTTGCTTGATGTACAGTGATGAAAAGCACCAACGGAAGGGAGCTGTGGACACTCAGTGCCACAGAAAATGAGGCCACTTTTCTGGCAGTGCCTACAGATAGATTTAGGTATGTAATGTTAGGCACACAACTTTGAAATCTTTTACCTACATGCTTGACATTTTCTGAAAGTGTAGGATAATGACCAATATAACAGGAGACAGGAGAGATGAAAGATCAGGACTGAGACATAATGGCAGAGCTTTATAGAGAAGTTTATAATAGTATTTGCCTTGCACTGAACTCAAGCCTACTCCTTTTGAAATCAACAGAAATTGTTCAATTAATGCCAGTGGGAATAGAATTGGGCCTATTATATGTCCTATAAGCAGGGATATTTGTCATTTATTTTTATGAACTCTAGATTTACTCAAATGTTTAAAATAAAGGGGAAAACCAGCTCTAAATTAAACTAAAATTAACACAATTCTGAAACTGATTTCCCTTTTCTGCTTATAAAGTTAGCCAGACTTTTGGTGTTCTCACTCTAGCGACTTGTATTCCCAGTTTTAGTTTAAAAATTCACAATGTATCAAGATAATGAATCATCACCAACAGCATAGTCCTCATTACGTTGGTGAGAGTTTCACCTGACTAAGGACTGCAAAACTGAGACTTATATTGCTGTTCATGCAAATTATGATAAATATTACAAAAAATCTTACTGAGTTCAAATAAAAGTGCTTAATTCAAAATGGAGTGCTAATCAAAATGAGGTAATAATGAATGGAACACTCAGATGCTGTCACTCTACATTAATAACAATTTTGAACACATTTGTTCTGCTAAAATACTCCAGCAATCTAACATATTGAAAAGGTTTCAGTAAGAACTGTGAGGAAGAGTTTCCATTCATTGTAGTTGCTTCAAATACTCTCAATAGCACAGAACCATTAGACTCTAGTACTTTTACTGTACTCATTTTTTTGGAGATATCCCATCTCCTAGAACTGGAAGGGACCTTGAAAGGTCATCAAGTCCTGCCCCCTACCTTCTCTAGGAAGTACCAAGTACTGATTTTGCCCCAGATCCCTAAGTATCCCCCTCAAGGATTGAACTCACAATCCTGGGTTTAGCAAGCCAATGCTCAAACCACTGAGCTATCCCTTTCATTTGACATTATTTTTTGTAAGCACTGTTTTGGTTTTATGGAATGTTGACTTCTTCAAAATGATTTGGTTGACAGATTTAACCTCTGTAATGTCTAGCTTTTGAGGTTATTCAAAACATTTTCCTCTCATATAGAAAAAAAATGTATGTGTGTTTATGAGAGAGATACACATATAATGCATGATAATATGGTGCAGTATAAAAAATGTACCAGCATGACTTTGGGATCACAACATTCCTCAGAAATGGTGAAGTCACAAGAAAGTTATGTAGGCCATTCCAAATTAGTGTCTATAAAATATGTATACCTCATCATGCAATTATGTACTCTCTAAATACTACATGCAATGTTGGGAATATTTTAGAGGATTTATTTATTTTTATCCCTCCATCTATGAAACCATCTAATCGAAAGCCAAACAAAGTAATTCAAAGACTTCCTTTGACTTCAATAGGCGTTGGATTAGATCATATGTCTCACTGTACAGGGCACATAGGTAGTTATAAACACTTGTCTATATTGTCTATACCTAGAAATGTCATGATTGTAATCTTTGATCCCATTTGGCACTAAAAACGAGTACTTGGTCCCACTGAGAAGCTGAGATTCTTTCCAAAACTATATTTCTTCTGTTTCTAGCCCTACAAGGTCACAGGAAATGTTAGATTTCAATACCTAATGGAACAAACCGGTTTATGCAGAGAAAGCTAACCAGAGTCCAGGACCAGATCTTGTTCATTCTCGGCTTTAGGCAATACAATTTGCTGGTAAAAATTCCACATCTGGAAAGAAGAGGATACATCTGTGGGCTAGGTTGATGTTTAAAAGGTGTTTCTTTGAAACTTTTCAAGGGGATTAGAATGTTAAAATAAATTCCAAGGGATGATATACCGCCAGTGGGCAGAGAGCTAGTGGGACAGTCAAAGGTGCATGATAAATTTATTGATCATTAGTCTTGACTTCTCAGTTAAGGTAGCATTTATTTTTTTCACTTAAAACTGGAATTTCATCTGAATTTAGTTTTTCACTGAAAGAGGGAATTCAGTCTCACGGGGGTCTCCAATTTATATGATGAGTATGACTATACATTATATACATGTTTTATGTACTATACACTGGTTGTGCATATGTATAATTTAAATATATATGCAAATATATTTTCGCTTGTTTTGAGATCATTCCAAACTCCAATTGCCCTGCAAAATAAATACCTAGAGCTAAACTTAAACATGATCCACTATGATAGCTTGAAAGCAAAGTGAAAGAGCTTCATTTTATTTATTTAAAACGAGATTGCACGTGAACTACAATTCTCCCAACTGGCAATAAAGGGGAAAGCAATCAGCAAAACGGTGTGTAGTTTGTCTCTTCAAATTACCAATCGTTGAATCGCTGGCATATTATTTCCTCCCCTCCCTCCTTCAGTTCTGGGGCTGGCTGCAAAGTCTTACGCTTGTGCTATGTTCGGGACATATTCTGCAAGGCTGATTCCCATGCCCAGAAATAATATCTAGAAGCTGTTTTGGCTCATTCCGCGGCATTCCAGGAGAAAGCCGATCTGCCGCCCTGCACTGCCATCTATTGGCCACGGGGCCTCACTGCTCTGCCTTCCCCCAGCTCCACCATGTCTGCCGCAGCTTTGCTAAACCGGCAGCTCCACAATGAGCAAGTGTCGGAGCCCCGGCCCCATGGCTCTTGCCATTGAAATGGCTTAGAGGGCAGAATCACCCGCACTCACACAGCGCCTCGTGCCCGAGGCAGACAGGGCCCTTCTCTGCGGCAGGTCGGCGAGCGCGTGCCCCCACCTGCCTTTTGCTGGAGGCAGGAGGGCGAGGGGAGATTCTCCTGATCTTAAGGACGGCGCCTAGCAGCCCGTCCGCTGCCCCAACTCCCTCGCTGCCTTCTAAAGAAGCGGATGCAGCGGAGGCTGCCAGACACCACGCAGGAGAAGCAGCTACAGCAGCCTGAGCTCGGTCCGCGGCGGAGGCTCTGCAGGAGGCAGCCGCGGGGGCCAGGCTCCCCGCTCTCCCCCGCTGCACACTACCATGTTCGGCGCGCACCGCCAGAAGAAGAAGGGGAAGATTAAACCCAGGCGCGCGGCGCCGCGCATCCTCCCCTGCCAGTCTGGGTCTCTGCCGGCCCGGCGGGGGGGGGCCGGCCGGCGGACAATGGTGTGAGGCGGGGGAGCAAATCAGGAGGCTGGGTCTCGGCTGGGCGGAGGGGAGGAGGGGGAGGCTGAGCTGGAAGCTGCTGCGGAGCGGGGAGAAAGTTGTGCCTCTCCGTGGGAAGGGGGAGCGCGGGGAGTGCGCGCCGGGGGCAGGCGCGGTAGCTTGTTGTATCGGCATGTGAGTCCCTGTGTGGCGCCCTGCGGAGCTGACTGCCCCGCAGCCTGGCAGCGAGAGGCGGAAAGGGAACAGCCTCCTGGTCCCTCAGTTAACCCCCAGTGTACAGCCATTCCCCCATCTTCCTCCTACCCTCCCTCTTTGTGCGCCCCTCACCCCCCTTCCTCTCCTCCCTGAGTCCCCCTCTCCCCTCCCCTGGCTCCGCTCTCTAGACCCTCCACTTGCCCGCCTCTCTCCTCCGTTCCCCGCCCCCCCACTCTCCACCCCCCTCACTCCCTCTCTCTTGTTCGCCCCTCCCTCCCGCCGCCCCTCCCCCCCCCCCCACTCTCTGGTCGCGGGGAGAGCGCTGAGAGCAGCTTCGGGAGCCAGCCCTTGGCACCGCCGCCGCCGCCGCGCTCGATGTGTGTGTGCCGCGGGGGCTCGGCGCAGCCTGGGCGGGGGGCGCCGTGTGCGTGCGTTCCTTCTCCAACCTTCCCGTCTGTGAGCCCCGCCGCCGCTCTCCTTCGCCCGGGCGGCTCGCACGCAGCGCACACCCCAAACAGGCATCTGTATGGGTTGCAACAATGCTTGGGCCCTGGAGATTTCAGGCTCAGTAAGTATCGGGGTTGACTCCCCCCCCTTCCTGTCTGTGTCTTTTTGTGGCTTCCCAATCGCCCCCCTCCTCCGCAACTCCTCCCCTTCCCCCCTTTGGAACAGGATTTCTCCCGACTCGGGTGCTGCTCAGTTAGGTGGCGGTGTCCGGCGGCTGCTGCTGCTGCTGCTGTCGGCGGTACTGAAAACTGCCTAGAGCCGGCCGGGCAGTGCGGTGAGCTAGGGTTTGAACTCTTTGGGGGGAAAGCAATACACCCCCCGCAAACTGTGACCCTCCACGGAGATCTGGCAAGGAGCGGCGCACAGCCATCACAGACGGGCTTCTCAGGCAGGATCGCAGCCTTGTATAGCACAGATTCAACTTTATTTTCTTGATCTCCACCCCCGTCGTTTTCTTGAAGGAGGAAGGGGGGAGGGGAAACTGTATTTATCTCCTTTACTAATCATAACTGAATTAAAGTTGCAAAATGCCCGGGAGTTTGATACTATACTGCCCGGGCACGTTTCGCAATGGCTTTTTTTCTTGTTTGGTTTGGTTTGGTTTGAAGATCAGGCGATTAATGGATGAATAGATCTGATCGGGCTGAGAAAGAATTTGCAAGGTAAATGCGATAACTAGAAAGATTGATGCAGCTTTGATGCAGTGAAGCCGTTTATCTTCAGTAATTTCGATCCGGTAGATGTTTGGTCGAAATTGTATATCTATATCTAGATATATATCTATATTCGCCAAGACGTCCGATTCCCTGCTGCTTCCCTCCCTATGCTGCAAGTGCTAGATTTCAGCGTTGAACTCGCTGCCACAAGAGATGTCTTGCAGTAATGAGACTTATTTTTAGGGTGCGTTTCTCCAAGCGAGTGTTGCCGTGAGGAGTGACGCTCAGAGAAGGTTGACCGTAGAAAATGCAGTCTCAATGACTTATTAGTCTCCCCTCCCCCACCCCCAGACACACACAGATGTACATATTCTGGATCTTAATATTATTTTTAGACAAGTAGAAGTAGGAGAAAGCTGCAAGGAGACAGACTGCAAGAGAGAGAGAAAATCGGATTTGTTTCCTGCTAGATAAAATTCGGGTATTAAATCACTGACGTAGGTCAATGGTAGGATTTTTTTTCCCCGTTGGCTTTCAATCAGCTCGGGTGTCTTCGCCCCTAAAGGATGAAGAGCACTGACAGCCATCCTTGCTTATAATCAGTTTCTCCAATGCTTGGAGTGTTGGCGATGATATATTTCCATGAGACCTAGTTAGATCTCTCCGCTTCTATTAGGCTAGTTTTACAAAAAAACATTGGGAATAAACAGTATGCCAGTTATGGCTGAGCCTGCGAAGGTGATCTTCATGTTTTATATATTTTTTCACAAATTTTGGGTGAGTGGCTCAAACGTCCCCTTTAATTCTCTCTCGCGCTCGCTGTACGTGTGTTCATAAATATCAACCGAGTAAGGTTACTTATGTGAGTGGAGATGCAAAACATGAATACTGTTACTAAAGAGAGCTAGTAAGTGCATTCAGTTACACGGTGGATGTAACTCATTGCAGTGCCGGAGAAGTCCATCACAAAAGTTATGTGCTTTTTTAAAAAAAATATGCATATATATACAGCCATTGACCTTTTTAGGAAAGAGGTGATTTGGGGGATCCAGCAGGATTCTATGTGTTGAATTAATGTACATATCTCACCTTTTTTCTTTGGATTTCCGACAATGGCATTTCCAGCAATGGTTAAAAATAATCACGGTAACACCTTGGGTCTGTAAAAGTGGGGAAAGACCTTAACAGTGCGCTGTTCGCTTAAGAGGTTCTGAAAGGAAGAAAGGGGGGTGGGTAATAGGGCTGAGATGGGAAACCTCATAAAATGGTGCTTTTTACTTTTAAATTAGAACCGTGAAACCGAACTGACAGCCATTTTATGTATATTTATGGGACTGGTCATGAAAAAAAAAATCCGACGAAACACTGAAATGTAGCACATATGAATAGAAACAGAACGGTTTCCAGTGTGACCTTACCTTTTAAAAATACAGCAGACGTTTAACTCACTAGGAGTTGAACATTGTCCTTTCAAGCAGATTCAGTGTTATCCAGCTTTTAAAACACTTGGAATTAGAAATGACAAATTTTTATTTTGAATAGCAACCTTCTCCACCTACCCCCACGCTAAAATAAATAAATGAAAACTTTGTGTCTGGTTTATATTTTAAATCTTTATGCTATTACGTTTTCTTTTCTCTTCTTGCCCGTTACAGGAGTTAAAATGTACGCTTGCTGCTCTACAGTAACTTTGGAACAGGACCCCAACAAAAAAATGCATATCTGGATGCTGCAGACGATAGCGGTTGCTTTAACATCGCTAGTCCTGTCGTGGGCAGAAAGCATCGAGTATTATGGGGAAATCTGCGATAAGGCGTGTCCTTGCGAGGAAAAGGACAGCATCTTAACAGTGAGCTGTGAAAACAGAGGGATCATCAGCCTTTTCGAGATCAGCCCACCAAGATTCCCTGTCTATCACCTCTTGTTATCTGGGAACCTTTTGAACAGACTCTACCCAAACCAGTTTGTTAATTACACTGGGGCTTCGATTTTGCATCTAGGGAGCAATGACATACAAGACATCGAAACGGGGGCCTTTCATGGTCTGCGGGGCTTAAGGAGGCTGCACCTGAACAATAACAAGCTGGAACTATTAAGGGATGACACTTTCCTTGGTCTGGAGAGTTTGGAGTATCTTCAAGTCGATTATAATTACATCAGCACTATTGAACCCAATGCTTTCAGCAAACTGCATTTGCTGCAGGTGCTGATCCTCAATGATAACCTCCTTTCCAGTTTGCCCAACAACCTTTTCCGTTTTGTGCCCTTAACTCACCTGGACTTGAGGGGTAACCGGCTGAAGCTGCTGCCCTACCTGGGCCTTTTGCAGCACATGGATAAAGTGGTTGAGCTGCAGCTGGAGGAGAACCCATGGAATTGCTCTTGCGAGTTGATCGCTCTGAAGGATTGGCTAGACAGTATCTCCTACTCGGCTCTGGTGGGGGACGTGGTTTGTGAAACCCCTTTCCGCTTGCACGGCCGAGACTTGGATGAAGTCTCCAAGCAGGAGCTTTGCCCTAGGAGACTCATCTCGGATTACGAAATGCGACCGCAGACACCTTTGAGCACCACAGGGTATTTCCACACTACCCCGGCCTCGGTCAACTCCGTGGCCACTTCTTCCTCGGCTGTTTACAAATCCCCCTTGAAGCCCCCTAAAGGGACCCGTCAACCAAACAAGACCAGGGTGCGTCCCACCTCCCGCCTGCCCTCCAAAGACCTGGGATACAGCAATTACGGCCCCAGCATCGCCTACCAGACCAAATCCCCGGTGCCTTTGGAGTGTCCCACCGCCTGCACTTGCAACCTGCAGATCTCCGACCTGGGCCTCAATGTCAATTGCCAGGAGAGGAAGATCGAAAGTATCTCCGAGCTACAGCCCAAACCCTACAACCCCAAGAAGATGTATCTGACCGAGAACTACATCGCCCTGGTGCGCAGGGCGGATTTCCTGGACGCCACCGGGCTGGATTTGTTGCACCTGGGCAACAACCGGATCTCGGTCATTCAGGACCGGGCCTTTGGGGATCTAACTAATTTGAGAAGACTCTACCTGAACGGGAACCGGATCGAGCGGCTGAGCCCGGAGCTGTTCTACGGGCTGCAGAGCCTGCAGTACCTCTTCCTGCAGTACAACATCATCCGGGACATCGAGGCGGGCACCTTTGAGTCAGTCCCCAACCTCCAGCTCTTGTTTTTGAACAACAACCTGCTGAGATCTTTGCCCGCCAGCATTTTTTCCGGCCTGACTCTCTACAGGCTGAGCCTGAGGAGCAACCACTTCTCCTACCTGCCTGTGAGCGGGGTGCTGGACCAGCTGAAATCCCTGCTTCAGATCGACCTGCACGAGAACCCCTGGGATTGCACCTGCGACGTGGTGGGCATGAAGCTGTGGCTGGAGCAGCTCAACACCGGGGTGTTGGTGGACCAGGTCATCTGCGAGTCCCCCAAGAAGTTCTCCCAGAGCGACATGCGGACCATCAGGTCGGAGCTGCTGTGCCCGGACTACTCCGACATCATCGTCTCCACCCCTACCCCTTCCTCCATCCAGCTGCCGGGCGGGACCACCCTTTTCTCTTCCACCGTGCGGCTCAACAGCACGGGCGCGGCGGGGGGCGCGGCGCCCTCGGGCGGCGGGGGCGGATCCCCCTCGTCGTCGGTGCCGCTGTCGGTGCTGATCCTGAGCCTGCTGCTGGTGTTCATCATGTCGGTGTTCGTGGCGGCGGGGCTCTTCGTGCTGGTAATGAAGCGCCGGAAGAAGGGCCAGGGCGACCCGGCCAGCGCCAACAACTCCGACGTGAGCTCCTTCAACATGCAGTACAGCGTCTACGGCAGCGGCCACCACCACCACCCGGCGCCGCAGCAGCCCCGCCACCCGCGCGGCGGCGGCCCGGCCCTGCCCAAGGTGAAGACCCCCGCCGGCCACGTGTACGAGTACATCCCGCACCCGCTGGGCCACATGTGCAAGAACCCCATCTACCGCTCCCGGGAGGGCAACGCGGGCGAGGATTACAAAGACCTGCACGAGCTCAAGGTCACCTACAGCAACCACCACTTGCAGCAAGGGCCGCCGCCCCCGCCGCCCCCCGGGGAGGAGGAGCCCCTGCGGAGCCCCACTTACAGCGTCAGCACCATCGAGCCCCGGGAGGAGCTGCTCTCCCCGGTGCAAGACGCCGATCGCTTTTACAGGGGCATTTTGGAGCCCGATAAACACTCCTCCTCCTCGCTGGGCACCCCCGGCAATAATCTCCCCGATTACCCCAAATTCCCCGCCGCCTACACCTACACCCCCAACTATGACCTTATGCGGCCCCATCAGTACTTGCACCCCGGGGCGGGGGACAGCAGGCTCCGGGAGACGGTGCTCTACAGCCCCCCGAGTACTGTCTATGTAGAGCCCAACAGGAACGAGTATCTGGAGTTAAAAGCAAAACTAAACGCAGAGCCGGACTACCTCGAAGTGCTGGAAAAACAGACCACATTCAGCCAGTTCTGAGAAATCCCTCCCTCCCCCCAACAACCATAGCGACTCCTCCTCCTCCTCTAGAGTATTTGTATTTAACAACCACACACAAAACAAAGAAACACAAATGCTGAACCCCCTCCCTCCCCCCTTTAACTCATTTTGTTGTAGGGTGAAGTGCCTTGGCACAGGATTTTCAGCTTCGGGGAATGATACTGAAAGGGTGTGCTGTTTCATTTTTATTTTTACAAGTAGGAAACAATCTATTGTGTAAACTGGGCACAACACTTGCTCTTGTGTGTTTGTGTGTCTGTGTGTTGGGGAGGGGGGAAAGAGGGTTTACTTAGGTTGGATCGTGCAGGTTATAAGTACAAAAGTCATAGTCACTTTCATTTTGTTGGACAGGCGTTGCTAAATTTTATTTTCTCTTTGGTTGAAGAGTGCAGCGCACGTTTCCCCCTTTTAGCTCTGGGTGAGTCTAAATGGCTTTTAAGGAAAGATTTGCACACCCGATTTAATACAAGGTTTCCTTTTTTAAAGGATGTGTTTGTATGCTTTCTGGACTTTTGAATTAAAAAAATATATATATTATGATCTTTAAAAAAGATCACCAGAGATGTTGACAAATCATTAAAGAGGGCAGAGATATATGATCCATAACTGGTTAGTGAAAATAACTTATTGATGAACTATAAAATATTTTATTGTAGCACCTATTTTTATATGTGCATTAGCATTTCTCTTTCCTTCACTATTTTAGGGCCCAGTCTTGCAAATACTTACATACCCACGTAACGCTATTCATGAAAGTAGTCTTGGCATAGGCATCCATCCTGCAAACACTTAGGCAAATGAACAACTTTGCTCAGGTGTGTAGTCCCATAGATTTCAGTGAGTATGTAAAGTTAGCCACATGCCCAAAAGTTTGGAGGACTGGGGCCATAGTCAGTGCAACTGTTCTCATAAGTAAAGTTACATGGACATGTAATTGTTTTTTCAGGATGGGGCCCAGAGTCTGTGAATTGCTCAGAAGTGTTGCACTACATGCAGAGCTTTATTTCCAAAGCTGAAGTGGTATCAGGAGGACATTTTAAATCACTAAAATTAACAGTAATTATGACCAAATTTAAAAGACAATCTAAGACAAGCAATCTGGTCAGGATAAAAGAATATTGTATTGGGAACCTCCTGCTAGGGCAATTAGTCGGACTAACTAGCGAGGGACATGTGGAAATCGTTGATTTTAGCAGGAAAATTGTTTCTTTTCATTACTCAACCAAAATATAATGATTTGACTACTGTTGTAGCCAATTTCTGATTGTTTAGTCAAATGCAATTGCACTTGTACAGATCCATGTGTATACTGGCACTTTGAAAGACCAAATGATGGACTGTACACATCTCTATATAATGTCTTTACCCCTTTGGGCATCAGGCAATTAAAAGGATATCCATAAATACAGCATCACTGTAAGATGGGACAACTGGTGTCTCATATGTATCCCAGCACATGTAATTTTTTAAAAATAATTTCTGAATAAACACTTGATAACTATTTCAAATGTAAGGACATGAAGTAATGATTACCTGAAGTTCACAATATCTTGCCAAAATCAAACTTTGCTATGTGAAACTGCCTTTACTAGCAATGAAGTCTGAACGGAAAGGAACTAACAGTATAATCTGATGTGTTGTTCTTCAGGTTATTTTCAAAACACAATATATTGTAATTTATCAAGATACCTGACATGGGTCAGAACTGGACATTGCTATGTGAATCACGAACTTGCTTAAAAGTATAGTTTCATATTTACATTTTTTTCCTTTCTAAAGTCTTCATTTAAGATATGGATCAGGGTAAGTGATATTTCACATTCTTTTTTACCTTTATCTCTTAGGTTATTGTATTTGGTATTGTTTGGCCAGGATTCGCTAGTACATCTGTTTTGCAAAAGGGCTCTGTTCTGTGCTGCTTTTTCTACTTATGTAAAGTATGTGTCTTTATTTTTGTGTTAAACTGGCCTTCAGCAATTCAGGATGAATGATGTGTTGGGATGTGTACTTCCCTTCCACCATGCCCTCCACTACCCAAACAAACAAAATCAAATGTGCATGACCATACATAACTCTAGGTGGTTTGGTCAATATACTGAAATCTGGATTTTAAATGTGAACAGGAGATTCTTCTTGTTTTATTGCAAAAGCAACAACACATGGCATTATGGTGTATACTGCTCTTGATCTGCAGCATATCTGTCATTGAAGTCAATGAGAGATGTAAGTGCTGATTGAGGTCTCATTCTGCAGTTTCTATTGAGCAAAAAACTCCCTTTGAACCATTGCCAAAGCCAAAGGGCCTCATTCTCTTCTCATTTACACTGGCGTAAATTAGGAGTAATCATTAAAGTCAGCAGTTACACTGGTGTTAAATGGCTACAAGTGAGAAGACGATTAAGCACATTGGCTTGCACAGTGACATGGAAGGAGATTTTCTTAGTAATGTCCAAATGATCAGGGCAATACGTGGTCCTTCAGATGTGAAACTTTTTTTCTCGTGCACCCAAAATTCAAGTTGATGGGAGTTTTGGGTGGTTTCAGTAGAAATGCAGGATCTGGTCCTTAATGTGAAAGGTACATTTTACATGGCATTCTGCCACAAAGAGGCAGCATCCACAAGTGTGTAAATGCACAGGAACAGCTTGAATTTATGAGACCTGGGTGATAGAAATGCCTGAACAGTCTTTTTATGTCAGAGTTCCTGATGCTGCTATTTCTGATGCCAGTAAATCTGCTGCCTCCATATTCTCTGCATACACTTGATATTTGAGACCAGGAAACATTCTAACAGTACACATGCTAAAATCAGAATAATTAGTGAAATCCTCTTCAGTGCCCTACACCAACTACAAGTAGCAAAAAATTAAAATATTAGGAGAGCCATTATTGGAGAAGAAATTTAAACATAATCAATTAACCTCCAGCCGTGTAGTCTTGAAGAAGAATTCTTAAAAGACACATGAATTTCGAAAAAGATCATTTACTCATTAAGTATCCTGAAATACAACTAAGAGGGACATTGATAACTCAGACCTTAATAGAAATGGGATTACCCATGCAGAGGCTACAATGATTAATTTTCTGAAGAAAATTATAGGTAGAAAGAGGTGACAGAATGTCTGATCACAGAGGTAGTTTTGGTTGTGGAGCAATATATTTATATGGAAAATATGACCTTTGTTTGCTAGCAGGATCAGTGAAACCATCAGTTTTGCTAGCAGGATCTGCTGAGTTAGTGCTGACCAAAGAAGTAAAAGTGTCAGAGAAAAAAATATATTAATCCTTTTTTTAAGTTGAGAATTGTTTTAATGGGGCCATTTAATTCACTTCCCCTTTTTGTCCAATTGTTGCCCTTTCTTACAAGATATGTTGAGTTTCCTGAGATGAAATAGCCATATAGCTATACATTTTCTTTCAAAAGTTCATGTAAATCGATTATAAAAGAGAAATAAAGGCAAAAGAACCCTAATTTCTAAAATGTAAGTGCTAGAATCAACATACAGATTCTGACAATATAATATATACCATTTATTTATAAAAGCAAGTCAAAAGTTTTCTTTATCTATCTTCTATATTCAGTATTTTGCCAACTGTTTAGCATACTGATGCAATGTCTTATATTCATAATTGTGCTTTTGGGACAGATTTTCTTTTTTGGGGTCCAGATTCTTTCTTTCTTTCTTTCTTTCTTTCTTTCTTTCTTTCTTTCTTTCTTTCTTTCTTTCTTTCACATCAATTTCACAACATTCACCCATGTATTTTCTAGCTGTTTTTATAAATTGTTTTGAACACCAAACTTTGTGTTCATTTTGTCATCAATTAAACATCTGACATGAAAGATGTTTCCACTTTTATATTTATAGGACCTATTATTGCACACTTTTCTCATGTTGAACTCACATTGACTTTCATGTCAGTTGTTGCTGAGTAAAACATGTAGGATTGTGTCTAAAGACTGGTATATTTCAGTTTCATATATTTTCCATTATCTATTTATAGTACTAGATAACTGATACTCAGGAGTATTCCTTTTAGACAAAATTCTGGTACTCCTTGTCATATTGATTAGTAGTTTAATTTAATTGAAATTAAGGGTAAGGTACTGTTCAACATGAATAAGATATAAGAATCTAGCCCATATAAATACATTATAGAAAAAATAAATCTAAGAAAGCAGTAATATTTAATGTAATGTCATGCAATATAATACTAGTATGATAAATACAGTTTTAGGTGGGTAAAAGTTTATAATTATTGGTAGGTTATTACTATCATAGCTTACATACAAGTTATAAAATATAATGAGGTACACTTTCTCTCTGACATTTAAGAGTCACTTTTTGGTAATTTTATAGTATGCCATGTTAAAGATCTGTCAGAAGAAGTAGTTACTTTCACTTGAGGGAAAGTCATCATTTACTGATCAAATAATAATGACAGAAAGCAAAATATTGGTCCTTTAGCTGTGCAGAGTGGAGCTTAGGTGGATATGGGTATTCTGCACCCCTCAAAGAGGCTTAAATGGATTCTGACATTATCAGACCCTATCAGAGCTGGTTGCATAATTCATATGGGTCCATTGTCTGGGGCAAAGTGCACAAATCCATCCCAAGACAATTATCCATGGCATCCTGGAGGCTGGGAGATGGTACTGGGACAAGCAGGGAGTTTGATGTGAGGAGGCTGGTGCTCCTCATTTTCCTGACAGCTGGTGAAACTAAAAGAGCTCTCGGGTGAAGATAGGACCACTGGAGTGACGATTCCCTTCAAGAGCCCAGGGCAGAAATATAGTCTTCCCTTATGCCTGCACAGCTCCTAGGACATTGTCATTACTACTGGAAACAAATAACAACGTAGAGTGAGTAGTAGAAAGTCAATGACAAAGACACCCACCTTCTCATCACCACCAGCCTCGCAAAGCTGCAATTACTTGCTTTAGTTAACGTGTTTTAGAGAATACCCCCCCGCACACGCCCCACATTGTCCTCCTGCAGCAGTTCTACAAGGAACTGTAGGCCCTGCATAGAGAAGTGGAAACAAAATCCAAAGGAGGTAAATTGAGGTTGGCTTGTGAAAGGGATGAAAAGGCTGTGAGCTCATTTACATAAGGTCCTGTCCTAAACATCTCTGTACTATGCTCCATTGAAGTGTGAGTTCTCCCGTACATTGTGTGTCTAAGCCTCCTTCCACTCCAGCCCTGCTACCTTCAGCATATCTGTCAATCCATCTATGTGTAACTGTGATCCATCCTAATATAAATGTGATACATCTTTGTAATTTTTATTGCTTTCATTTTACTTTTTTCGTTATTCAGATAAGTCTCAAAATAACTAGTATTGTGACAATAGTGCAAAAATGGTATAAACAGGTTTTAGAATGAATGTTTATTCTTAAAACACTGAATGGAATAGTGTCAGAAAACACAAAGACACATTTAGATAGTAGAAACCAGAAACATTTAATTAATTGGATTTCAAAGGGAATAAAGTGCAATGAATGTAGTAATTAAATGGTTATCAAATTTACTAATTAACTTACAGATAATGGGCCAAATTCTTCTCTTGGTTATACATGTGTTAGTCTAGAGCTACACCATTGACTTCAAAGGAATTATTCCAGATTTACAACAGCAGAACAGAGAGCAAAATTTGGCCTTGCATTCCTAAAATAAACCATTCTAAGCATTGTTATTTTGTAAAGGGAAGCATTTCACTACATAAAGTATGATATTCAGTTGTGGTTTTGCATAGAGCAGTATGGATGATTTGCATATATTTCCAATCTGCTGGCAAATTAACAGTATTTTAGCATTGCACTTTAAAATGTAATTTGGGTCCATATTACCCCCAACCATTTTGAAAGCAAAACTCTCAGTTGATTTCAGTGGGGAGTTCTGTTTAAATCTGGATGGAAGATAAGGCCCTTGGATACAATGAGTTATGAATTAAAAAAAAATAATTCTGTGGTCCTTACTTAGGCAAACCTACTATAGAAAATTTTCCCCCAATAGTAGTTTTGACAGTGTAAGGTCTGCAGAAAAGATCATACCCTATGTAATATTTATTGCCATTTTGCACTTTTTATGTAGAATATATTTATATTTGTTTGAAAACTATGGAGTAGTTCAGCTTCCACTGAAACATCTTTCTATATGACAAATGGTGACCACTGCTGTAAGTCATGTGTTCCTGGGCTATTCTTCAGGAATGTCAGACTGGGGCTTTGAGAAAGGGGTGGGGGGGGAGAGAAGAGGTTGATGCAGTATATTGTCTACTTGAGTATGACATGTAATAAAACATTTCCTTCTCATTCTGATTTCAACAGTCTACTTGGCTTATGAAAGTCAGGCTAACTATCTATCATGATAATTGTAACAGTACCATGAAGGGGCTTATTTTTACATTCATATTTTGGATAAGAGGGATAGCATCAGATCACCACTGTTTCATCTATTTTTTTTTAGAGATACATTTACCACCAGTATATCAAATGTGAAGTAAATATAATTTTTGGCCAAGCTGATTTTTTTCCCCAAAAAAGAATAATATAGCAACTGTTTCCAGTTAAGAGGATGAAAGTTTAATACAAATGTACTCATATCTTCATCCCATTTACCATCAATGTGATTGTAAAAGTAAAGCCATACATGTCATATAAAAGAAATTAGACATATTGTTTTCATAAAGACTTAGTAAATCAATGTAGGCTATGCTAATGAGTGAATATGGTGTGTTCTTACTATCAAATGCAGTTTCATTGGCAATTAAAGCCTGTAGGATTAGGCCTAATGTGCTTTCAGTTCTTATGTAAGCTTTTAGGCCTTGATCCAGCATTGTATAGCACAGGAATGGCCAAACTTACTGGCCTCCCAGAGCCGCATCTGACAATTTTCAGAAGTTCGAGAGCTGGGGCACATCTGCGTGGGGCCGTGACTCCGGGCAGCCATCAGCTCCTCGGGAGGCGCCAGATGGGGTTCGGGGCTTCAGCCCAGCTCCTGCTGAAGCCCCAAGAGCCGTCTCCCCACCGGGCAGAAGCCCCGAGACCCCCCTTCCCCACTGGGCAAAAGTCCCTACCCCACCACCCCACTGCAAGGCAGAGGACCCGAGCCTCCCCCTCCTGTCTGGTAGATGGAAAAGGGGGGAGGCCAGGGCTCAGCGAGACTCACTTTAATGGTAAAAGAGCTGAATGTGGCCCGTGAGCCACAGTTTGGCGACCCCTAGTGTAGCATGTGGGCAGATTGTTGTATCTACACAGTGTCCCACTGAAGTTAATGTAATCCTATGGACCTTATCTTTGAAAAACTCTTGCTGATGTTAATGAGATGTTTGGGTACACACAGAATGTAAGATCAGGTCCAAAGCAAAATGACAGCTTTCCTGAATATGTATGTCAGTATTAGGCTCAAGGTCTGATTCATTAGCTGCATCTTAAAATAAGGTATTTACATTTGAAGAAGTACATTTGAAAATATTTACATATAGTCACAATGACCCAGATTCAGCTCTACTGTAAAATATCTTACAGATCAGTTTTGACCAAAGAATCTAACAGATTATAATAATACTATAATGTACTTAAAATAATAATAATAATAATTAATCATAATTAATTTAACTAAAACCGTACTAAAACAAATCAGTCATTTTAAGGGACCATATTAGGTGGACAGTACATTTTAATTTAGTTGTAGACCTTTTGCAATTTTTAAGAACTTGTACTCAGTTATGTGATAATCTCTGGATGGCAAAAATTGCTTTCTTTGTACTGTGCTGCTATCCAGTAACATATTTCAGCTTTAGTTACAATCACAGTGCAGCTTATGGTACTAATGACAATTACTCCATACTCTAGAACATTAACAGCTCATAAAGCAAGGTTGATTACTATGACCACACTTTTTAGATGAGATTCAATTTTCTCATTGTGAATTTCATTTTAAATATATAAAATTAAAATCATAAATATAATTTCAGGTTGGCAGTGCATTCTGTTAAATTTGATGTGGCAGTACCTTGACCAAAAAGAAGTATTAATATTAATTCAACTTTAAAAAGTTCTTGCATAGGTTTATAAGCCATTCAGAGCTATTTATCAGCCATATGCTTTATGGTTGCATAAGGGGGATGCAAAGTTAGCTAGATTTTACTTGATTATATCTAGCAAATTTCAATATGTACATTGCAATTCATTTAAATTTGGGTTGAGTTTCACATTATTCTTAAAATACTTATACACACATGTAATGTAACAGATCTATTTAAATAAAAATGTTATTTTGTTACATACCATAGCAACTTTCTTAAATTTAAAGTAAATAAGATGAAAGAACATGAGCTATACATAGTATTTACTTTCTGTGAACATTTATTTCTTTTGGAGTCTAGTGTCCCCTTGATATGTACATTTAACTTTAATGAGGGTTATTCAGGTGTATTACAGGGAAAATGGACCATAGGGTGAAATTGTGACTTCTCTGAGGTCAATAGCAAACTTCCATTGACTTCAGCGGGGCCAGAATTTCACCTATAATGGTTTTGATCAAACTGTATTCTGACAGTCCCATCTTTAACATAGATTATTTTGTCTTCCCTGGTGGGTCTTTTTTTCAATATCATTCCATATGGATACTGCTTGTCAAATTATAGTATATAGTGCAAAAGAAAGCCACAAAACAACACCTTATAATATAATGAACCTGAATGTTTCTAGAGGTTGCTTTATTTCCCTTTGTCTCTTTTTTCTGTCAAAATAAATCAGCCTTGGTCTTTTTTAACTGAAGTTCAATTATGTCTAAATTTAGTATGTAATGTAATCAATATTGATTTTGGTTAAAATATTCAAATATTGTGAGCCAGTGGTCATGCAAAGATTTAGAAGTGCTCTATAACATGTATTTTTGAAAATAATCATCTAGTTCCGTAGAGTGGAGATAACAGATGTGTTCTGTTATTTTTGTGTTTTTCTTTCTCATGAATCACAGTGATTGCTTTTATTTTTATATATAAACCTTTTTTAATATGCTGCCTGATTAACATACAGTATCTATTATTTGCAGAAGGCTGTTAACCTAATGTTCTTAGAAAAAAATGTGGACCAATACTGCATCCTTTCGTTAGGCCCTGATGCTGATCTGATGTAGGCAGACTTGTGCTTGCACATAGCAACATTGATTTTAATGGCGCTCTGCCTGTGCCCTTACAGATTGGATTGTGACATCGAGCAAAATCCTCTTTGAAGTCAATGGGAGTTTTGTTTTAGGACTTGTCTAGGGTAGGGAAATAGCCATAGTTGTAGTTACAACAGTGATGTAGTTACTAGTGCAGATCCCTAATGTAGATACACTACACCACTGAAGAATGAGGCTTTTGCTTACGCAACTTACCTCAAAAATTAGTAGAAGCACTGTCTTACACTAGTGCAAAGCAAGCACACTGGTGTTTTGCACCAAGGTAACTACAATATTAAAAGACAATCCCTATAGACAAGGCCCTAATAAGGATTGTAGGATTGTGTCCAAAATATTCCTTTACAACTGTTTGACATGACAAATAATAGTTGCTTGTAAAATAGATGAACAGGTACAGTACCTAAAGGATTAGTAAAACCTACTGGGTCCGTTGTGCAATATCTTACTCTGAGTTTAAAATGATGGTAGTCTTTACTAATGTGCATTTATACACATCAAATCTTCCATAAAATATAAAAATGAAATGTTTTTCTAAGATAAATGAAATTGTTAAACTTTCCAGAAACATGTTTCCACAAATATTAGGAATAGCTAAAGTAACATTTCTAAATTTGTTTGTACTGGCTAATCATGTTTTGTCAATGTAATAGTTTATATACTGAATGTGTTCTATAATTTTTCCAATGACTCTCGGGAGTTTTCTGAAGATGTACAGTTTTTTATTAGGTGTGATTTCAGGATCAAGGATGTTATTATGGAGAAAAGGGAAGTGTTTATTTTCCTCCAAGTTTAATATATCATATAATCTCAAATGAATTGTGGAATTATCTGGGAAAAGGTACAGTATGTATATCTCATACCTCATTTATCATTTGAATGTTTGAAAATGAGTCACTTCCATCTCTATTCATCATCAGCATAATGTGAGAGTTCCTAATTTCAGCATTGACTGAAACTTCATAATTTTAGTTTGTAGTTGTCTAATGAAATCCTTTCCCTCTCCATATTGCATTATATTTCTTAGCTGACCTTATCTCCTAGTCTCAGTGACAATATAAGGCCAAACTCCTGACCACTTAATTAATCATTATAGTTCATTTTTACCTCAAATACAATGGTAAGATAATTTATCATAGCAATGAAAAAAAAAAAGTCCAGTCCTAGGCCCCAGTCCTGCAACTTCTTATGTATATAGCTCGCTTTATGTGAGTAATCTCATTGGACTCAATGGGACTACTTCTGTGAGTAAAGTTATGTGGTGTTTGCAGGATCCAGCCAAAATACGGGGACTGCACTTACAGTGCTGAGTTACTCCTTTGTCTGATCTCCAATTTGCTACTTTGGGAACTGTGCCCCACTAAAGACTGCAGGATTAGGCCTATTATAATTAAGTTTTATGCTTCCCTGATGAAGAGAAGAATCTTGTACAATGTCAAAAAGGTTTTCATGGTAGCATAATAGAATTTTCCGTTTGTACTCATTCAGACAATGTACAATTAGGTTTTATACAGAGAGAAAAGTGGTGTAGGCTAGTGAAATGATCACAAAGGTGACCAGCAAGATGGCCTGAGTTTGAATTCTGCTTTAGTTACAGTAGGGGATGCTTTTGTTTTTTTGTCTTAATGCACTTGTCTGCTAATTGGGGCTGATGATGATAACAATTATCCAGCTTCCCCTTATGGGTATTGTAAGTATTAATTAATTAGGCAATGTCTATGCAGTGTTTTGAATGTACAAATCACTGCAAAAGGCTAAACATAAATAGGGCTCAAAACTGCTTCTTTACATAGGTAGCACTCCCATCAAAGTCAGTGACTTATTTATTTATTTATTTAATATTATTTTTAATGCATAGTAGACTTGGCAAAATTCATTTATATATGTATAATTTAGACATGATATTGATGCTTATTTTATGGATTACATTTTTATTAGTTCAAATGTTCACATTTGTGCAAAATTATGGGTTTTTAAGCATTCTTTTTAAATTTTATTTATTTAAATTTTCACAGTTGTATGGAATTATGGTGGCGTCAGACAATGGTGGAGGTCAGACAATAAATATTTAATGACTGTAGACATCGAGATTCAAATAGTTAAAGCTTTATAACCATTCAAATACAAATTGTCAACATCACATGTCAAAATATACAAAGTAAATTCCCTGAAGTCAAACTCTATTAAGTTATCAAACAATATTTTTCTTATGTTGCCTATATGTAAATTTTGATTATTATCAATGGAAATATCTGTTAGCCAGTTTGTGTGTATACAGAGACATAGACATTTAGTGATATTTACCAATAAAAATCTAATCCTTCCAAATCTTTGTATAGGGACCGCAAGATCTGAATGAAGTACAGTTAGACACCACATTTTTCCAACTTTGGTGCCTGAAGATAGGCTTCTAAATCCACATTTAGGCACCTAAATAAGAATGTTTGATTTCTAAAGATGATGAATATCTGCAGCTCCCATGGATTTCACTGCAAAAAATGACACATTGGACTTTAACAGTTCTTTAATTTTTAGTCATCTCCAGTTATTATTAATAACATAGATAAAGAAATGTGTTTGTATAAAAATATGATTTTTAAGTTGACAGCATCCTTTATATTTGACAGAAACATATACTTTGTAAGAGAGGTTTTCATTTGTAATGCAAATCCAAAGTCTAGCTACTTTTAGTGCTTTTAAAATCTGGCAGTCTGGAGAGAAGGGGGGAGGTTGTTTTGGCCTATCTTATCTTTGCATAACTTTATAAAAATCCATCCAGCCTCATTTATTACATGAGTATGAACATCCTGTACTTTAAAGACAGGAATTATAGTGTCATAAAAAATCACACTTACAGGAAAAATGTTAATCAGAGGTATTAAAATTGCTACAGCAAACTGAAGTATGAAATTAAGATATGGTATTCTATGAATACAGCATACATTTTCAAGAGGGGTTTGTTGACAACTAATTCATAACAATCTGTCTTGCATACATATAACACCTTTCATCCCAAAGGATTCTAAATTCTCTTACAAAATGTATGCCTTCTCCTGCTTATTGCAGTCAATGGGAGCACTGCCTATGGAAGTAAGACTTGGCACTTAATAAGTTAATAAAAACGGCATAAGGATCACTTCACCTAACACCAAAATGCTTAACAATATACAGCAACACTATTCAACAATGTAGGATAGAAAGTGAATATTATTATATCCAGGTGATATTGCTTGATGAATTTAACTAGGCAAAATATAATTTGTTCAATTGGGAATATGTAACAGATACTAGCATCAATATCCCAGCTCTTGGTTAAGACTTCCATTTTAGGATTCATCCAACACACACTATACCATAGTATTTTTACATGTACTGGAACTATTAGCTCCAGCAGTTTTAATCAATTTGGTGTCACTTTCATTGTTCATCTAATATGTTTTGGATTTTAAACATACACCCAGTTTTTTGGCCTCAGGTTTACAATTTTTGCTGCCATGAGAGCTAAATAATTTCAAGTCTATCTGAAGAGTGCTGGAAAAATATTTCCTAATACAATAAAACAAATTTCTCCCAACGCTGCATACTTTTTGGCTGATTACATTTCTTTGTTGCCTGAGGGACACTGAGTGTTCAAACTAGTATTTGGCACAAGCATCTATATTCCTGCATTTTACGTATTATACTATGGGTGCCAGAAGAGGCTTAGGGCAAGATTTGCATTTTTCATGCTTCGGCTGCCAGTTGCAAGCAAGCCTTATGCCATCCAATCTGATTTTTTTTAGAATTTAGGTCCTTCAATATGATTGTCTTATCACAACTACAGGAATACTAAAGGTGACCTGAAAAGGGTAGCATAAAATTGCAAAAGGGTTTATACCCTATTTTGAATCTTTATGATTCCTAAAGAAGGCCTGAAATATTTTTGTTGGAAAAAAGTCTCTTTTTTTTTAATGTTATGTTATGTTTATTACCCAAGGAAGATTTGATGGTGACAGGAGAATAAGTTAAATTATAACATCACAGCTGACAAAAGGCTGAAACTTGTGCTGCTAAGGGAGGAAAATTTTGTAGTCAGACTTTGTAAAGTACTTTGGCTGCTTGCTTGCTTTTGTTAACACTTGTTTACATCTAATGATTAATACACAGTTTTTTGGGGGGAAAGATGTTTTTGTTAAAGCTTCAGAATGTGAGAGCTCACAATAAACTGCTTTGAGAGTAATTAGCTTTGGAATAATTTATCTAGGAATCTGCTGGATTATCCATTAAATGAAGTCTTTAAATCGGGACTAGATATCTTTCTATAATATATATGATAGCTCAAACTGAAAATTGTGGGTTTGATACAGAGATTATTGGGTGAGATCCTTTGGCCTGTGTTATGGAGGAAGTCAGACTAGATGCTCATAGTGCTGTCTTCTGGCCTTAAAATCTGATTCTGTGAAATCCCTAAGATATCCTCCAGCAAAGCCATGAAAGGTAAAATTTGTCATCCTTGATCTTTCTATGGTAAAAAATGAGCAGAGGGAAGGAAAAAAAGGCACAAATTCAATTTTCAAATAATCATTTGTAGGTCACCTTTAATAAATACACAAGAATTCCTGCTTGGAATTGAACTGCCTTTGCTCTGCTGCAACAGAATGCAAGGAGAGCAGGCCTTAAAGTAGTTTCACAGGGGAATACTGCACCCCTAGAGCATCATTGGAGCAATGCTGTGTAGCAGCTCTCTTTGAAAGACGGTGTTAATGGAGGTTGTCTTCTAGGCAAGATGTTTAGGTATACACACTAAACAGCTCCCCTTATTGGGAGTATAATATTCCATAGCCTGTATTACAGCATGACTATAGAAGCATCTGTGAAAATACTGAATCTGGGTTGAATGAACAAGTGCTCCTGTTTTTTCACCAACTTTCCTGCTAGGTCAATCTTATAGAATCTGATGAAAATTTCTTTCCCGACTATGTATTTCAGATATAATGTAGGACTTCTGATTTTTGGTTTTAACCAAATAAAACACTTCCCATACCAAAAAAAAAAAGAAGAAGAAATCAATGTTTGTTCAATAAGCCCCAGAAAAAGCACTGGAAATGGTTGTTTATATCTAAGGGCTTGTCTACACGGATCAGTAATGCGGACTATGGAGTCTGATTTCTAAAGTGCACTAATGTGTTGTGCATGAATTGTTCCGTATAGACCTTGCTGGTGCACACTAAAGGTTCCCTGATGCACTTTAACATAGTGCTGTTTGAAACAGTATTATGTGAAAGTGCACTAGGGAACATTACAAAGAAATTACTCTTTATGGTATATGCAAAGAGAAAGCCCCCAAACCTTCTGATTTTTGGACATCTACATAAAACTCAAAAATTGCTAACAAATAACTGCCCAAAATGAAATTGATAAACCCCCAAAACAGAAGCCCTATATAATGCATCAAATCTACAAAATGTACAGACAGTTGTTCAGAAATATCTAAGATTAGGGACTGTATGTTTTTCTTTTATTTTTTCAAACATGTTTACAAAACTCTAAAAAGTATATTAAGTTCATAAATATATTTTTAAAATTCCTGATTATTATGTCATGGACTTCCTTAATAGATTGCTGTTTGTAGCATCTATCAAATGGCAGAGTCAGGTATTGAAATATCTTTTTTTATAAAATGAGGAAACAGACATTCATTAATTAATGACTCAGAACTGGAGGAATTTAGCACTTGAGTCAAAAATAGGATTAGATTTTAACCTCAGGACAGAATTACTTCCTGGGTAATGGTAATTGAATCTTGTCTTTATATTTCCTTTAGTTATTTCTTGCATAATGTCTGAACTTGAATTTCTTAGTCAGGGAACAACCTCTTTGAAATCAGAGGGAGTTCTGCCTGAGTAAGGAGTGCAAATGTTACCCTTAATCCTTAAATAACTTAATTTATATAATTCTGTGCAGCAAGTGTGTGCTAATTAAAGGGCTGAGTGACTTATGCAATATGAAATTGATATGTGCAACTGGTATTACAAAAATATTATATCTGATTAGGGCCAAATCCTGCAGCCCTGGCTTAAGTGTGCCTTGCTCGGCAAAGGACTGTAGGATTTCGTTCTTCAGGCCTCTGCATCATATTTGTTTACTCCATTAATAATTCTGTTGCAAGGTTTTACTGCATAGCACATACTTTTTCTTTTCTGGAAACATTTCTCCCTTTAGTTCCATGAATGATTTGTTTGTCATTAGCATACAGGTAAACATTTCAGGAAACATGAATTTCTGTATTATAAAGTGGCATTGAAATAACACATGCTCAATATAGAAGAAGATAATATTTCCTAAGAAAAATTATACAATTATACAATGTTTTGAATTTTTTCAGATATATTTTAATGTATTAAATAAAAATCTTGCTAGTATGCAAAATATAATCTTCTCTATAAATATATTGCATACTGGTTACCTGGCTTTTATATTTAATTCAAATACTTGGACAAAAATTTCATACTGTTAATAGTTTTTTGAGACCCATATTGCCTTTAATGTAAAAAAATAAAGTTAGTATATTAGTGGACTTAAAAAAAAGTTAGAAACCAGCTACATTGGGTTTAGTTGAATTATTTGCACATTTTATACTGTAAAAGCATAATCAGTGTACAGTAGTAGCCTGAGAAATTGATAAAATCCACATTTTCATACTGTATTTGCACATTTTTCTCATTAATGTAAAATATGAAACAATCAGTTTTTGCCAATGTAATATCTTATTAAAGTTTCTACATATTTTTTTATTAAACTGAAATTTAAAGGATTAATTCCTTTAAGAATTGTTTTATATATGGTAGAAAAAGCCATATTCAGGAACATAGACTGTCAAGTGATACTGCTTCTTTCAATGGTTTCAAATGGTTTGATGTTAAATAGCATGTACATTAAAGTGCAATTCAGTAGCAAAAATACTACTTTTCAATTGCATACAGATTGCTGGTGTTTAGGGCCCACGCACTTAAACATGTAAGTAACTACACTACTGTAAGGCATTTCTATCAATATCGGTAACTCCTGGAATTAAAGTTACTTACATGTCTATGTGTTTGCAGGTTTGGGCCCTGAGTATTTGCGCACCTGATCTGCAGCCAAAAAAGTCTACAGACTTCAATGGGGGGGACTCTTAACCTCACAGGATTGAGTCATAGACTTTTGCCTAACGATTTGCTATTGGAATGAAAAAAACAAAAACAACAACAACAACAAAAAACAATACATTTTCCCATATTGTAATAATTTTCTTTATAGAAGAATAAAGAACAGAGATCAAATAACACTAACACATCAGCTTTACAGTGAGTTTACTGTACAGAATAATCCAAAGAATCTTTTTGAATTTACAATATTAAATATTTGGGAACAACATATATATATATATATATAGCTCTACATCTGTTTATATTTATATGTCTATTATTCATTATACAGCATCATGGATGTATGTGGTGTCTGTATATATTTATATGTGTATATACAAGGACCTCTGTACTATACAGCACATTAGACTTAAATTATACAGCAAGATGCCATGATTTATGTGGCAGAGTTTCACTGAATTCTATGACAATGTTAATTAATTAAAAATCATTAGATAACCTTCATTGTTACTGGTGTAATTAAAAAAAATAAGTCCCACCAAGTGGAAATACAAACAAAAGCCTATTAATTTGCATTATGGCAGAGGAATATCACGCCTGAAGGCCTTAGGAGAAGAGTCCTTTTGCATTGTAGAACCTGCTTGGGTGCGGTGAGGCATGCAATGACATAAGAGGTACCAGGAAATGAAGAATGTCTTGAGGAAGAACTCTGTGCATTTTAGGAAAGATTCATCAGAGAAAGGCAGCTTGTATACTGAGACACTGAAGACAGCACGAGGGTGCTCCTCTATCTCTGAACCTCTTCCTCTGCTTCCACCATCCCCCCTTACCTCATCCCCCCCCCCGCCGCCAACGTTTGATCCATTTCACCCGTTTCCTCTCAGAAAAAGTCTGGTGTGACAGGTAGCTCTCCTCTGCGGCTCTGGAGTAGCACAAGGACCTGAATGAAACCTGCTCCTTGGGAAAATATAAAGAAAAACAAAGCAAAGGGAGAGGGAAAGCAAAATGGCAGGCAGACAAGTGGAGGAGTTAAAGGATGATAAGAAAATGGCCGTTTTGTGCATGTATATGGCAACCAATTCCAGAAATTTCTGCTTATCAGCATTGTAAAGTATGTGTTTATTTTCATGTCTATATAATCACACTAGACAAAGTGGCCTCTGTATGTGTGTGTGAGAAAGAGAGAAAGACAGAGAGACTGAAGTAATATTAACATTTTCCCTCTATAAGTACTCTCTATACAGGGCCAAATTTTGGTCTTAGTTTCATGTATGCAACTCCATTGATTTTAGAGGGCTTGCATGTGTGTAAATGAATGTATGGGTAAACTGCTTCAATGTGCTTGCTCTCCTTAAAATAAAAATGACTTTTTTCTACGTTGGTTTTACCAATATAGTAACAAAAATAGTCACCACATCTTGCAACAAAACAGGTACACCAGTCTTCCCTTATGCATGTTCTATGTCTCTGTAATTTTACAAAAGCAATTGACACAATGATCTCCTGCAATTTTTTGTTTTATTTATTTATTTATTTATGATGCTCCTCTCAGTTTTGCATTGTTAAACGCCATTGACTTTCTTGCAATTAATCCTGATTTGGATCCGTGTAAGTTAGAGGAGACATTCACTGTAAGAATGCCACCATTTATAAATCTGCTTCTTGGTCTGAAATAGGTCAAATGTTCAGAATGCAGACGGGATGGGCATGCACAAACAAAAGGGAACAGAGAATTAGAGAACACTGAAAAAGTGGAGGGTACAATGGATAAACTAAATCATAAGCCAAAAAATTGTAAATGTACATTTATAGATTTAGGCTAATCTAATTTATGTATTGACACTTATTTGGCATATCAACTAAATTGATGTAGATTGGAATTTTTAAACTGTTTGGGACAAGAACTGTGTCTTCCTATGTCTTGCACTAGGGTGTGCTTAGCATAATAGAGCCTACATCCTGAATAGGGACTAGTGACTACAAATAATAATGACAAATAATTATAAGAGACATAATAATAATGTCATTGTGATTAGTATTTTCTTGTGGTTTAACAAGTTTCAAGTATTTCTTCAATACTTAAACTTCCACAGACTTTCTTTCAACATCATATCACTACCATCTGTGTGCTTGTTCTGAAAAAAGTCATTAATGTAGACAAAATGCAAGGGGAATCCAAAACTACATGTGCGTTAGAGTTTTGCAAATTTTGTTTCAAACCCAAATGTGGTAGTCAGGTGCTAGAACCATAGTGTAAGACTGATACCTTTTTTATCACTTAACTAATATTTTATCATTTAACTAATGAACAATAGACATTTTTTCTAGTTAGATTAATACTATTAAAATATGCTAATATCCAGATAAATCCAGATCTTAAAACACATTTATTGCAATTTCTATGGCAGTATCACTTCACCTGATAAAGCTGACATAATTAGAGTTTATGTGATTAAAGTCCCCACAACTGAAGCTAGAGCACAGAACTGCAGCCTGGTCCCATACCAACTGCAGCTGTTACACCAGCCTATGACCTACAATAGTAACCTCTGCTTCCCCTTTCATTCTTTTCAAACACTAATCCCATGGTTCCTCGTCTAGCCCACACACATCACTGACCTCTGTACATAGGAACTAGGGGTGCCAGGGGTGCTGTCACCTGGATTGAAATAGTAATAAAAATCCAAATCCATGGTTTCTGCCTTCAGCAATTGCACTATAAAAATTGCTCCAGCAGCTGTATCACCCTATGTGTTTTCATTGTAGAGCCCCTTTTGCTGTGCACATGGATTGAAGGGCTAGGAGTGGTTTACATGAGGTGCAGTGGATTGCTTTGATCCTCCGGGGTGAATGTCATTAACTTTTTAAGTAAATTGGATAACATTCCCTTTCTTCTCCTTCAATGTGCAGATTGGTAGTTGTCCATTTTAATGAGTGTCAATCTCTTAATGTGACCGGTTGATTGAAAAGACATTGATGGTAATCCTAATGGCACTTATATCAAAGAAACCTAGGGTGACCAGATAGCAAATGTGAAAAATCGGGACAGGAGATTGGGGGTAATAGGCGCCTATATAAGAAAAAGACCCAAAAATCAGGCCTATCCCTATAAAATTGGGACATCTGGTCACCCTAAAGAAACCCCTTGGTGGTGGATAGGCCAGATGTTTAAAAAAATATATACTCAAGACTTTCGATAATTGTTTCAATATATAGGTCCTTCACAATCATAATTAAGGACTAACACATTCCTACTGGTGCTAATTTTTTTTTGTTATCTTTGGAAGACCAAGATTTAGAACCAACTGGGATCCAGAAGGAAAATTTATACATATGAAGGCTGCTATAGAAACAGAGGCGTGGTAAGAATTTTGTGCTCACAATTTTGATTGCACAATCATTTATGTACACAGCTCTGCACATGCTTATGTACTCATGCAAATGTCTGAATCTGCATATGCAAACAGCATTTGTATGTACACAACTGCACACGGTTTGTGTATACAGGTTTTATCATTTGCCTGTGCAAGTGATTGTGTAAGAAAATTGCTCATGAGTCGTGAACTCAACTAAAAAGAAGGGTTTAAGTCACTTTGAAAATGTTGACCTTCAAATACTACAGGCTGATAATAATTTGCTGCCAAAATCTCTCTCATTAAAATGTTCTTGATGTTCACAGAATACCAAATCTTCAGCTTGCTGGAGCATTGGTAATCTTTCTGTTGAAAATGTCCTTTCCACCCGACCCACACAAACATGTACACATCAGAGGGAATATTTATAGCATCATATTTCCAAACGTTTAAACATTGCTAGAGTTAGATGCATTTTACTCTATGGCTGATGGATTTTTTTTCTTTCTTATTACTTTTTGCACATTCTCTTCCACCTGACCTCTCACATCTGCACAGGAAATACTTTTTCCTCAATATTGATATTTGACAAGCAATTGACTTGAACTCACATAACTGTGAGATCCTTTCTATATTTCTCTAATTCAACCCCGCTCTGCTGTAAAAGAGCATACAGAAGCTGTGATGTCTTTGAATATAGGATCTAAAATGTACTGAGTATATGCTCTACTTCCTTTTTATATTGTATGTTGTAGTTTGCTGTCCTGAAATCTACTTGTCATGAAATAGCAAGTTCATTGAAATAGCGTTAATCAAAATCGCCATATAGTCTGAGGTACCCCGCACATCTTTTGTTAGGCAATAAATGAGAGCGATGATCTGGTTGAGACCACTATCATGGTGGACTGATGCTTATGTGGCTTTTTCTAAAAGTGCATGTAGGGTCAAATCCTGACCTCAGACAAACCTAAGCAAATCATATTGATGTCAATGAAGTAGTGTGGGTGGACCTTTTCTGTGTTTTAACAAATTTAGTTTTGTTTACATTATTTTTATACATTAATTTGATTACAAACTGTTATAAAAATAACTTACTCCCCAGTACTCCAGAAATGACTGATAAATGCAAAATGTTCTTTAGTATTACTTTTATTTTGGTCCATTCTGTTACCTTTATTCACTTTAAATAGAATCTTATACCTGCATTGATTTCAGATGGACTCCCAGAAAGTTATACACTACTCCATGCGTAACCCATATCTGGCCTTTAATACAAGAGACCACTTTCTTCTTAGTTTAAATCTTCATTATTTCATTATTGAAGCGCATGCTGAACAGAAATGACATCGCTCTGTGGTTACATTCTGGAATGAAAGTATCTCTTTCTTAATAAAACCTAAGCTTTAAACTAAGATAACAAGCAGATGTCTTTTCAAAAAATTTGCATTGAGTTTCTGAAGATTCCACCATAGTATGTAAGCTTTGTCTAGGATTTTAATAAGGAGCTTGAATATATTTTTTTAAGTATGCACTTTGTATGGGTCCAAATCATTTACACACATACAGTAGAGGATATAGGGGAGGCTGTTTTCCTTCTGTAGGTTTTGAAACCAACAAAGGAGCTGTGGAAGTTGCAATGGACCTTTCATTTAATGGCCATTAGGTTTTGGATATTATTTTGTTTAATGTAAGAAATCATAGACAATACAATCCAGGTAGTGGACACAGTCTCTGTTCTGGACAGCTCACACTGCATGTATCCTATTCTCCGAAGAAACAAAATATTAAGGAATGAACAGCAGTAATATGCAATTGATGCATGATATGAAATGATCTGTGAAACATTTTACAGTTGTACAGCATATGGCAAATGGATTCTCGTGAATGGTTGAAATATCAGCTTCTGCTTGATATGATGATGGGGGAAGAAAAATACATCTGATCCCCGCCCCCAACACAAATGAATACCAGCGGTATGCTGTCTCTGTCCCATATATATCATATCTTTGTTTAGATAAGTATCATTTTTAACTAATTCACTGACAAAGGGCTAGACACTGCTGTATGGAGAGTACAGTAGTACTCTGGGCTTGGCGGAAAATATTTTCCATGAGTCAGTGGCATCTATATGTCTATCTCAACCATAGTGGACCATTCTTTTTTTTTTAAATGTGTATTGTGACCATAGAATATTTTTTGATGTGCTTTTACATCTTTCTTTATTAGAAGTTGTTTTATCACACCATGTGCCCAACTTGCCAATGTCCTGCCCCGTCACAATGCTGTCCCTAAGAGACACTAGAAACTATCCCATTCAAAGTGTCTGTCAATAACACATTCCCTTGAATGTCTTGCTTGAGACATTTCCCTTCTTACCTTCATGTCTTTTTCTTATTACAGTACTGGGTGACCTGGGACACATGGAAAAGACATTTTCACCATGTTATTTCATGGATAGTTTTAACTGGGTTCTTAGATCATATTTCAGTATACTGTACTTTGTGATTTAAAGTATTTCCATATGTGACCCTACAAGCAGATTGTACTACTGTGCTATTTTGATCTAGAAAAATAAAAACTCCAACCAATGGCATTGGTATAGTTTTCAGCTCCTTAACAAAGGTGTACATATGATATCTATCATTATCAGCAAACTCTGAAGAAGTGAGGTTCTTACCCACGAAAGCTTATGCTCCCAATACTTCTGTTAGTCTTAAAGGTGCCACAGGACCCTCTGTTGCTTTTTACAGATTCAGACTAACACAGCTACCCCTGTGATATGTGCTATGAATCTTTCCCTTCCTTCCCTTAGATATGGCATGCATAGTTCGATACTATTTTCTCCTTACTATTCTATTTTGATCTTTAAAGCTTTTTTACTTTTTATTATGCTTCCTCTTGAGTTTTTTTTCTCCCACCATTGCAATATTATTGCTTTAATCAGATTTACTGAAGATTCAATGTATGCTCTGAATCTAATTGATTTAAGTCAGTGGGAGTCTTTTCATTGACTTCCATGAGTTTAGGTCAGCCCTTATTAAAACAATTGGTATGGATAATTTTCTCCTTCTCTTCTTTCTGTATGTACTGACTGTTGCACCAGACAGGTCACTAGATTTCAGTGGTTGGAGAGGTTATCTTTTACACATGCCTAGTTTGTAATTCTGTAAAATGCTCTGAGGTTTGTAAAAGGTGATACATAAATCATTAAATAATAATTTAATGTACTTCAATATACCAGAGATGTTGACAAGCTGAAGAGAGTTCAAAGAGCAACAAAAATGATTAAGGGTCTGGTAGGACTGATTTATGGAGAAAGAAAACAAAATCTAAATATGTATGGCTTAAGTAAATGGCAATTAAGGGACAAAGTATCTACTAGTATTGAAAAAGTGAAATCACTAAGGAGTGAGAGAAATATGTAATGTGTTACTATGGATTTTAACTAGGATAAATAGGATTAAATTAAGAAAAGAACTAACTAAGAATAAAGAAAAAAATATTGATGGTAACATCTCTTAAATTTTGGAATAATCGTCCAATGGAAGTTGCAGAAAACACATCATTTTAAAACTGGAACAGAAAAAGCATTGGAAAATGTATTCTAAGGATAATCCCTAATTGACTGTGAATTGACTATATGGCCAATTTAATTAGGTCACTTCCACCTCTAACTTCTATGATCCTATGCCAAATTCTTACTCCAACCTTTATAGTCAGTGGGACTTTTGCCTATTTAAGACTCAAGCTGGAATAGGTTAACCTACACACAAGGGAGATGTGTGCAATAGAAACACGATAAGTAACTTTATTGAATAATTTTAGACCTAATTCACCTCTCAGACTTCTCTTATCTCTGAATTCTTCAGTGAGATAATACCAATATAAGTGAGGAAAATGTGGCTCTTATTATGAAATGCTTAGTCTCATCTATATATACATATGTTGCTTGATTGGCTTTCTTAATGTCAGCTACACTGACAGTTTTCACCCTTTATTTTGGTCCTGTTAATGTCAATCTGTTTTTCAATCAGCAGTCTCTTGGACAATAGTTTCTGAAGGTGCTCTGTTATACAATTAGTCAAATAATATTCATTGACTATTTTTTCCTCAGTTAATGCTGAGATCATTTTCAAATATATTATTTTTTCGCAGTTCATAGGTGTGGGTAAATATTTCACACATATTAGTGAATATATTTGAATTGCAAGAATTGTTTTAAAATATAAAATACAATTGGATCCATCCAGACTTCCTTTGACTCCTTTTTGCCACTGGCTCTGGATTCCTCCCAAAACAATTGAATTTCTGGATAAAAAAGGGTCATTTTTACTGGCCCCTATATCACTTCTCTCCAGGTCCCAGCATATAGTGTTTCTTGGGAAGGATGGTCAGATCAGGACTGCACTGTGGCAATCTCCAGCTGGATGATCGCTCCATAGGAATCTGAGGTTAATTCAGAGTAATCCTTGTGCTCTTTTAAATTATGCTAAGAACTATACCTGCCCCGGCTTCGCCCCATGATTGAGGAACCACAAAAAGCTCCTTTGCAGTAGCCCCTTACCTATTCATCTTTCTGCATCCAAGGGATATTGGGAGGAGCTGAGGTTTGAACTCCATATTTGTTAATAATTTTTCATTGTTTGCTTAGCTCTACTGTTTCATGAAACTATGGTCAATCATAGAGGTAAAGAATAGTGATATTTTGTAATCTTTCACATGTTTAACTACTATCAATGTAAAATCTGTCACATTCTGGGTGGAAGTATGGTGTAGATTTGTGCATGGATCAAATAATTTTTGCCTTACTACTATAGCTTTTATACACTGAAATATCACCACTAACTGTGGTATCTGAGAGCAACTTAGACTAGCCTGTCTACCATTGCTGTTGCTATACTGTATCCTTTACTTTCAAATTCACTGAGTCCTTATTTGTTTCATGCAAGTACATATTTCAGAAAAGTGGCTGCAAACATATTCTGTTTGTACCATTTATGACAATGTTCCACATGGCCCTTTGAAATAAATGTAAGTCAGAGAAACATTGATGGCTGAAACTTGCCATTCTGACCTCTCTACTTCCTGAATGGAAAAGAACAGAAAATACCTGATAACAGAGACTGCCAACTCTTCTTTGACAATGGGAATCCACCCTGCACTCTAAACATACAATACATCAATTAATAATAGAGAAATCATTGTTCAGCACCAGAGACAGTGCAAACTATCTGCCTAAATACCCTTTTTTGAAGCAAACTAAACAAGTCACTAACAAAAAAAGCCCCCAAATGTTCTGTTACACTACCTATTAGTTGTTAGCATTCTGGATTCTACACAGTCTTCAGCTCTGGGGAAGGTAGTGAATTTATTGTTCTGGTGCATGACCTTCTCTCAATTGACAAGTAAAATACATCCTTACCTATTCTACCGGATCTATCTCTGGCATTTGATATTACAAGTCACCAAATATTTCATTCCTGCTTCCAAAAAATTGTCACTGGTGAAGCATGATGCCATGGAATGACTCAGGTCTTTCTTGTCCGACTGAACCCAGAGTGTTGTTATGGTCATTTGGCTTTATATAGGGCACTAAATTGATGGTAAGGGTACATAGAATTTAGTGTGTTCTCAGATTTCCCATCTATTACCATATCTGTTTTGTTTTAATAGATTTTACAAGAATGTCACTATTTCCTATTTCTCCAAGTGCCTGATGCTCCTCTCACACCAATGCAAATCAGAAGTAGCTCCACTGAAGTGTTACAGTGGTGCAAAACTTGTCTGAGTGAGAAGAGATAGGCTCCACCTGCCTTTATATTTTGCTATGAAGGAAAATTTAGCAAAGAAGCTCATTAGTTCAATAGATATGAGACTTGAATATCTTTCCTCATTTATCAATAGACCTACTTTCTTTTTAGTACTTTCTCCAGATATACTTGTAGAAACACTTGTTCCTTTTTTTACTGAGGGCAGCCATCTTATTGGGAAAACTGTTTGTGTGGTAATAATATTGTGCTGGGTTTAAAATTAGTTACCTTTTTTATCTTTTATTCTCTTTTTATGCATATTTACATTACACAATGAATAATGTTCTAATTTTCTTTTTCTGGGTGTGAAATCATTGTGTGTGTGAGCACCAGTTTTAATATCTTCCTGCCCTTAGGTAGAATGAATTGTGGTACTAATGTTTATTCTTGTTGTAAGGCAACTGAAAGAATTAATGTGTCACTGACTACATACATTTATATAAAGATGGTCCCATTCAACTTACTTAAAATTTTTCATGGATCCTTCATAAACACCTTTATGCAGAGCTGGAATCATCTTCTATAAGTAGTATGTAGAAGACAGAGAAAACAATAGCAAAATTCACATACAATCTTGAATTATTTATTTAAATCAGTGAGAAAAAGAAAAATAAACTCCCTTTTGATATGCTTGTATATGCTTTAAACAATAGTCACTGGCTTGGCACACTAAATTTACAGCTTTTCTACATGGGGAATGTTGTATTAATTTAGCTGACCCATGGACTCAGAGGTGTTAACATGACCCTATCACTATCCAACATTAAACAGTGTTAAACAAGATTTGGGATTTGGTGTACAAAGACCTTATCCAGCTTAGTACCATGACAAACACACCATTAAAAATCCTTTTAAACCTCTTAATAAAGCTAGAGAAAAGAAGGAATAAAAGTTACAGCATTTGAAATGCAGCATCCCTTCTTCCTTTTCTCTTCAGATGTATAAAGGTGTTTTTTGTTTTTTTTCTTTTTGGGGGGGGGGGGCAGAGAGGCTTATTTGACAGTCTCTGTCTTTTTTTTTTTTTTTTTT